ATATATATATCCCATTGTGTGCGTAACTGCTTTGTGTTTCGTTCATAAGGATGGAAAAGGACAGATCGCGTTATCTATCATTTCGTAGTAATCATGGGTACAATCAGTCGCAAAAGATGTATAGGTACGTACCATCGGAATAAAGTCATACGGGGAGAGCGAAAATAGTCTGTACATATCGAACTCAATATTTACGTATTACGCAAACGTATTGGCAAAGGCCTTCAGCCTTTGTAAATTGCCATATTTAACGATATCAATTTCTATAAAAATTAAAACCATGAATATTTATTTATCAATAAATGTTACGTTAAACATTAATTTCTATTTACTCTTTAAATGAAATATCGTATAAGGCCACCCTGATGAAAATTTTTTTCAGAATTTTTTATGTAATTTTTCAGAATTTCTATATATAATAATTTTATAACTTTCTCATATTTTTTGTACGAATTAGAACACCTCAGAAAATTTACATCTTTTTTCAGAATTTTTCATATATGTTAATTATGAAATATCGTAAGATTTCTAAGATTTTTTGTAAGTATAATTTCTGATAAAATATTATAAAATCTAAAAAATTAAAAAATATTTTTTTAAATTATGGAATGAGAAATCTCAGAATATATTTCAGAATTCACATGTATGAAAAATTCTGAGAGAAAATGTAAACTTTCCGAATATTTCTGAGTATCGCTGAAAAATGTTCCAATTTGTATAAAAATTATAAGAAAAATTTTCTCCAGACAAATAAACATAAACAAAATTTCGCATTATCTTCTATGGATTTATTACGAGATTCTATCTTGTTTCCTTCGGAATAGGATTAACCCAAGAATAATCATTTGATTTCTTTTTACATAAACAATTACCTGAGGTGTTTTTACATCCGAATTAAACCATTATTAACAAAAAATTGTATATTATTGATTATTTTCTAATTTGTTAGTATTTGAGAACATTATGAATATGGATTTAATCACAATTTTCTGGAAAATTAAGTAAAAATCAAACAAATATTAAATGAAATAAGCACGTTAACTTTATTGCGATAGTTTTTCTAAAAAAAAATTTTAATTAATATGTAACAACTTTTTATTGCGGGTTTTCGATGCAATTGCGTATTTAAAAGTTTGTAAAGAAAAGTTATTTAAAAAAAAAGAAAATATATTAAATATTCTCATAATAATATACATAAACATTATACATAAAACAATATTTTACAATTCACATTTTTTTGCCGAAATGTAAAGACACCCCAGGTGATCATTTCCGGGTCAAATAAACTTGGAGTATGAGAAAGAACTGTAAGCATCTCAACGTATTTCATAAAATATAGACGCGCGCAAGAGTATGTTGAATTTTACCATGTGAAGAAATACATAAAAAAAAAAAATAAAAAAAATGACTGCAACATTTTCGATCAACTCGCAATCTTCCGCCGCTTTGATCTTTTTTTCCTCTTATTTCCTCCGATCTT